TAATTACTGACCAAAACATACAAAACAACTAGTACTAACAGTCAGTACTATTAAGTAACTGGCACCAGGGGAAAAAAAGCAAGGAAAGGAAAAAGGAACTCAAATAAAAATAATACGAGGGAAAACAAGCTGGTATCATCTGCTCACTCAACATAGCTTATTTCCAAACTTCAGCAGACACTAGAGAATATAAACCAAATATTTAAATCCTTCTTTCAAGACCCTTGTACTCTAGAACTATGCAGCACTTTGGATTTAAAAGAAAAGAGATGCTCTGAAGTGTGTGAAGTGTTGACACAGCATCTGCCAGTAAATCCTTAAAAATCTTACATAAAATCTGAGATCACACAGCTGCACACATTAACCCAGATGTATTCTGAAAATCCTTTTTCCTTTTAAACCCAAAGCACAGCTCTTTCCTATTCCTTTCCAACAGCCATCAAAATATAGATACCATTTGAATTTTTATCTTTTCTCATAGCTATAAATCAACTTGAATGTCATGGGCATTCAAAATAATTACCTTGAAGTAACAGGTCCCTGTGCCTCCCATTCTTTTCTTCCTACTTCCGTCTAATCTAAGGTAACAAATCCATCTCTACACCAGTATTTCTCAACTTTAACAACTTTAAGATTTTGTGACCTGCTTCCAGAAACCCCCACCACTTGAGGTTGAGAAACACTGTGCTAGATATCCCAAAGGTGCTTTTTCAAAAGGCAACTGGACTTCCTTTGTTTTGCTTGAAGATGTTTCGGTTCTCATCCAAGAAGCTTCTTCAGTTTTTCAGAAGCTTCTTGGATAAGAAATGAAACATCTTCAAGCAAAACAAAGAAGTCCAGTTGCCTTTTGAAAAAGCACCTTTGGGACAACCATGACTTGGATGACTGAGAATATCCATAGTCTCTGTGTTAGGTAATGAAATAATCAAAAAGCCAATACTATCATTCAATATCAGTAACATTTGGTATCCAAAGTACTAGTGATTTGTACTTTCCAGTCAATATGTTTTTTCTCATTGAAAATAGCATCTCATCTGAAAAGATATTCTGCAAGTCTTTTGTTTGGTTTCTCAGTCTCCCAACCCAACAATACAGACTGTTGGTTGTTTTCTGGATTTTGTTTTCAACCAAGTATTCTCTACAGAGAAAGAATGATTTCTTAAAGTTTCATCTTTACTGCTAGTAATTAAGAAACCATTTGAATATGTGATATGGAAATACAATTTAAATAAAGTGTATGGTCCACCAGGAGTGCCTGATAGGGGCATAAAAAAATAATCAAATATCAACTGTCCATGACAGAAAGGCAAGAAGGAATATTTTATCCCACAGACGTTTCTTTTAATATGCCCTCTTTAGAATACAATTATCTCTCAGCACTGGACTAGTTTTATTATGTAAGCTTCCTGGGGAGTGTGTGTGTGTTTCGTCTTCATGTATTACATGGAAAACCCAACACTGTAGAATTCACTTCTGAATGGCATTTGTTTATATAAAAAATATGCTGAAGAACATATGCATTAAACTGATGTTCAAGGGTATCTCTAGAACAAGGAACATTGTAATAGGTATAGTTTGCATACAGGAAGTATTTTTTTTAATGCTCCAAACTGATGGATAATTTTTCTTCCATGACAAGAAACTATATTATAGTAAATTATTAAGTTTATATAACTGTCCTCTATCTCTGTTTAGATACATTTGTGATAAAGTTTATTAACTAAAGAATAAATGTGACACTTTTCCCAGGCTATTTGCAAGTACTGGGATGTCATTTAACAAAATTAACCATCATAGAATGATAAAGTCAAGGCCGATGAAATTACACAGTAGTGCTAACATGATACTTATCAGCAGCAATAAATATTTTCTGCTATAATTAAATATTAAGCAAGTGGTTAAGTAACTCATACATTAACCAATCAATCAACAACAATAAAAAGCTCCTACTTAGAATAAAACATCCTTTATGTTGCTTCACACAGAACTCCAAATTAGTAACCAAAACTGTGGAAAAACTTATGAGTGCACAAGCAGAATATTCTAGAATTCTCTGGAACATTTTGTTCCTCCTTTGGCTCACATAGATCCAGATGCGGCTTCACTATAGTTAGTTAATTATTGCATATTGCATTTACTATCTATTAAGTCTATCAACAGACATTAGGAAATGACATCACCCTTTATGATAGCAGTTAAACCAAATTCAAAAGTTGAAATGGCAACTTTAAAGAACAAGTTTTGATCATGTTCTCCCCAACCCCACAAGCTACCTCTCACTATGACTCTTCTTTAGACCGTAATGTAAGCACCCAGACTGACTTATAGAGCACTGTGGCATGAAGGAAGAAGGCCATTTACTGAGGCTTTGTACATTTCAAAAATATTTCTGGATACATACTTCATAACTTGCATGAATGTAACACTTCTCCAATGTATATTCAAGGGGCTTTTCTATTTTCAGGTCCTGCATGGGCATCAACAAACATTCTGTTGCTTTTCCTTTTTCCCACTTTTTTTGATTTTTTCCCATCCTTCTTCCTTCTTCAGGATGAGAAGTGAAATGTTTTCAAGGAAAAAAAACAAAAAAATCCAGTTGCCTTTTGAAAAGCACTTTTGGGACAACCATGACCTGGATGATTGGGAATCTCCATACATATTCTGTTGCTTGTAAGAAACAGATTAAAGTTGCTGGGACTTTTAAAGCAACCATTTTCTTATACTTGTATAGAAGTCTGAAAAAATATGAGCTGCTTCAATGAATATCATAGGGGTGGTATGCTCACGAGACTCAAATAACTTTTTCATATCATTTTTGAAGCAAGTACCTGCCATTTATCTAGCTCTAACTTATTATAATGGAACAAAACACACACATGACAATCTGTACTAGCCATTCAAAGGGTAAATATGTACCAATATTTCAATTTGGTACAACTACAAAGTAAAATTTAAATATAGAGGAAGATGCACAAGCTTAATCTTTTCTATTATTCAATATTCAGAGATATAAGTGATCACACCATTCTAGCCACCCTACTACCTGTTAACCTGTAATAAGAAGACCAACATAGCAAAATTATCTTTTCTAAAGCAAAATAAAACTAATTCTTTCCCTATTCTTATTTTCCCTTCACATACTATATAAGACTATTTATAAAAATTGGAAAGGAATGCAACTTTACAGGCCATCACCTAAGCTACTCAAATCATTTCATTCCAGTAGAGAAATGCTCCATATTGATAAATACTTATAACACAGAAATCATTACCTCAAAGCACTTTATTACAGGTAGTCCTCAACTTACAATTCACTTAGCGACCGTTCAAAGTTACAATGGCATTGAAAAAGTGACTCATGACAATTTTTCACACTTATGACCGCTGAGCATCCCCAGTCACGTCATCAAAATCTGGATGCTTGGCAACAGGTTCATATGTATGACTGTTGCAGTATCCTGGGGTCAAGTATGATCACATTTTGCGACCTTCTGACAAGCAAAGTCAATGGGGAAGCCAGATTCACTTAACAACCATGTTACTAGCTTAACAACTGCAATAATTCACTTAACAACTCTGGAAAGAAGGGTAGTAAAATGGGGCAAAACCCACTTAACAAATGTCTCGCTTGTTTGGGCTCAATTGTGGTCATAAATTGAGGATTACCTGTAGTTGAAAATTAATGCATAAGATTAATATAGTAAAGAACCTGAAGTTTTGATTCTTTCCAATTTAGCTGCTGCAACTGTTTCAACTGTTTCAACTCTTTAAATTAGGGGAAAAAATAAAGCTGAAATTTCATTTACAATGACATAGGTTTAATGCAGGGGTCAGCAACCTTAAACACTCAAAGAGCCATTTGGACCCGTTACCCACAGAAAAGAAAACACCGGGAGCCACAAAACCCTTTTGACATCTAAAATGAAGATAACACTGCATATATCATTTTTTATCTTTATGCTATGTATAAAAAAACGATAATGTGCTGCATTTATGAAATCAATGAACTGCTACAGAGAAAACAAATTTTTATTTCTCCATGCAACAAAAACATTTTGAACTCCGAAAAAAAAGATGGGTTGAAAAGCTCAATAAATCATGTGCCGGAAGGTGTCACACATTGGTGGTTGTGACTCATATTTTGAGCGACAGGGAACCGCAGCAGAGGGATGAAAGAGCCACATGTGGCTCCAGAGCCTCGAGTTGCAGACCCCTGGTTTAATGGAACTTTCCTCTGTAGGGGTCATGTATACGTTTGTACTATATGTTCAAGATTGGAAAACTGAAAAGGACTATTGGTACTGTACAATTTAAGAAACTGCACAATACCAATGGAATTTACACAGGAACAAATCACAAATGTGCTCCTAGGGGTTTACAATCTATAGCTCTTATGAACAATAGTTTTTAAAAAGAAGAAAGGGAATATCTGTCAAGACATCTATGGAAATAGCAATCATAATACAGTTCATTACTAGTTCTAAATAATTCTTTTGTAGAAATGTCAACTAAATACAGCATTAAAATGATTTATTCAGCAACCTGATGAAACCACAGATGTATATTGAGACTTATTTCTGCAATAACAATTCTCTTTTGAAAAAAATTTCAATTGCTGTATTCCTCTGTACATCAAAAAAAAAAAAAAAAAAAACCTGCTATAAATCTCCAAGAACATATTAGCTAGCGCAGACAAATAGTATGCAGAGGTTAAATAGAAGACATCTTCCATTCCTCTAATAGACAGACATAATTGGATGCAGTTAATTAGCTATATCTTTATGGAGAATACAGAATATATTACATATAAATACATTACAAATAAATAGCCAAACATTTGTCAAATGAACTTGAGAATGAGTGTTAAAAAACAAAAGGTCTAACAAAGATAACAGTATATAGCCAATAAAAAGATTAACGTAATACTTTATTAGTTAATTAGCTGAATTATTCAGTAATTATTTTAAAATATTTTCAATATGTATATACATAGTACTTACTTGCATGCAGCCTTAGGATTTGCATTTCTTGAAAGCAGTAGTTCTACACTCTTTAAAATCTGTTCTTCTGAACCAGATGCAGTACATGCAGCCATCAATACTGAATAGTCATCTAAACAGCAATTGTTAAGAAATAAATTGGAAAAGATAATCAAATCTATAGAATAAACCAGACATAACAAATGCAGGTAGTCCTCGACCTACAACAGTTCATTTAGTGACTGTTTAAAGTTACAACAGCACTGAAAAAAGTGACTTTTGCCTGTTTTTCACACTTACGACTGTTGCAGTATTCCAATGGTCATGGAATGATGAAAATTCAGAAGCTTGGCAACTGGTTCATATTTATGACAGTTGCAGTGTCCTAGGGTTATGCAATCAGCTTTGAGAACTTCTGACAAGCAAAACCAATGGGAAATCCATATTCACTTAACAACCATGTTACTAACTTAACAAATGCAATGATTCACTTAATAACTGTGGCAAGAAAAGTTGTAAAATCAGGCAAACTCACTTAGCAAATGTGTCATTTAGCAACATAACTTTTGGGCTCAATTATGATTGTAACTCGAGGACTACCTGTACAAAAAAATATACTTATTACAAATATGGCATTGAATTATAAAATGAATTATCAATGTTAGTCTCACACCAAGATTTCAAAAAACTTAAAAACAGACCAGTTGAATCAGGGCCAAGACACATCTTAGAATTTTATTTCTCATGTTACTCAACAAGACCTTACTGGGGTGCACCCAAACAGAATGTAGAGACAGACTCTTGGCTTTTTTCTCCTTTAATTGGTATGTGGAGGTTTGCTACCTCTACTCTGGAGATGACAACATATAGTCCTCCATTTACAATTGGTCATTTAACAATTGTGAAATTACAAGGGACTCAAAAAGTTACTCATAACCTGTCCTTGAAGTTATGACTATTACACTATCCCTGTAGTCATGTGATCACATTTCAGGAGCTTAGGAACCTGTTCACACTTATAACCAGTTGCCAAGCACCCCATAATCACGTGATTGCCATTTGCAATGTTCTCTGCTGACTCACTCAGAAAGTCAATAGGGAACCCAGCAGGGAAGGTTGCAACTTGCTACTACCTGCTGAAGGATTTCCCCTGTCCTACATGCACTGGGGAAAGTGGGGGAATGGATCCTGTGGTGGTCTGGAAAAAGAAGCTGGGATCTTGAAGATCCAAACTTCATTTCTCCAGCTGAGCACTTGTGTTCCGTTCTCAGTACAGAGGGGATGGATCCCAAAGATCTGAGCTTTGTTTCTCCAGCTATCAGGAATGAAAGCTCAGGACTACACATGAAGTTACAATTAAACTGATTTATTACACCCTTTTCTAGACAGGGACGCTCTCCGTACGGTCACTCAGGCTCTCATTATCTCTCGGTTGGATTACTGCAATGCCCTCTACATGGGGCTGCCCTTGGGGTGTACCCGGAGGCTCCAACTGGTCCAGAATGCGGCCGCGCGAGTAGTTATGGGTGCGTCCCGCTACTCTCATATAACACCACTATTGTGCGAGCTGCACTGGCTGCTGGTGGTTCTCCGGATTCGCTTCAAGGTGCTGGTACTCACCTATAAAGCCCTTCATGGCATGGGCCCGGGGTATTTGCAGGATCACCTCCTACCGGCCTCCCACCACCCAGTGCGCTCACTTAGGGCTGCCCTCCTCCGGGTCCCCTCAGCTAGACAGAATCGCTGGCGGTCCCCAGGATGAGGGCGTTCTCTGTGGCCGCACCGACCCTCTGGAATGGGTTGCCCACCGAACTCTGGACAGCTCCCGACCTCCTCACTTTTCACGCCGACCTAAAGACATGGCTCTTCCACCAACTTCCCTGATCTGCCCTGGATTTTAATTTGGGTATTTGGGGATTTTAATTTGGTTTTAATACTATTTAATTTTTACTTATTATCGGGTTTTCTATTGTTGTGAGCTGCCCCGAGTCCTACGGGAGAAGGGCGGCATATAAATCTGACAAAATAAATAAATAAATTACTAAGCATGCCTCTGCACAAGAGTCTACTCAATTATAGATTAGCATTATCTTGACATTGGATAAGGGTCAACAGAACTCACAAGGGGTTAGACTTAGTCCCTTTGTGGCTATGTAGAGACTCTAGGCTGATTGGTCTTTTGACTCTGCCCCCCAGGTTCTACCATTCCTTCTCCTACACCAGCCCAGTGCAGGAGTTCTCATCCATGCACAGAAAGGAGCTTGCTGTCCCTCTATCAGGAAGCAGCTTTTTTACTCTATCTGTTTAACAACCACAACTGGAAGAGCCAGACTGCAATCCTTAAGTGAAGGAGTCATGTGGACATGTCACATAACGACTGCACATAACATGTTACATAATGACTGCAATGACTTATGCTCACAAAACAACTGCCCTGATTTAGGGCAGTTTCAGGTTCAACATTTCAGGTTCAGCTGTGATCATAAATTAAGGACTATTTGTATTGGGTTTCCAGTTAGCTGTAGCTTCTAGGGAATGAAGCTGCTGTCTTTCTACTTTTAAAGAAATGTAAGGCACAATACAATCAGTTAAAACTCTCCCACAACAGACAAAATTTGTTTGATTTGGGGGAATTTCAGAATAACTGTAGGTTAAAAGCATGGTTATAACATGCATTTTGTTCTTTTACTTCCCAAAACAAATTGCTAAAGAATAAAAATGTAGGTCCCTCATTTTAGGGCTGAATCATCTAAAAGTAGGTTACAGATTGCTGACTCCTGATGCATTGCTCTTACCAGTATAAAGATGCACAACATTTAAGGAACAAAGAAATTTAGTAATAGAACTGCAATTCTACATGACACTCAAAACAAAGTAAAAGTAAAGTAAAAGGGCACAACCCAAAAGCAAATTAAACAACTGCAGGATAATGAAGAACATGGCACAAATAGCGGCAAGGCATTTTTGGAAGTACTGACAGAATAAAAAGAATACTTTACACATGATGTGTTTAGTTTGGTCTGGCACAGTCACTGTTTCTTTAAATAAACATTTATTTTTATTATTATACAGAACGCTTAAGATTACATCCTTGAAATGATCCATTTATAAAAACTCACCCTTCTCAAAGCTTGCATTTGCACCTCTGCTTAGAAGGAGATACATAAGTTCCACATTCGCAACACTAGCTGCATACATGAGGGGAGTCCATCCAAACTTAAGGCTAGATTCTACATTTATGCCTGTAACATTTATATATACATTTAATAAAACATAAAATCTATAATATATATTCTATTATAGAATTCTACACAAGAAAATGGAATATTAGGCAGAGGTATTATAGATGGGGTCACCCACTATCTACATATGGCTCTGCCAGAAGTTTATTTAAACACAACTACTATTCAGTCTCCCCAATGATGGTCTCAATAAAATGCAATCCTTTACCAAACACCCCCCCCCCGTTTCTTATTTCTATAATATCTGTCTACCCTAGACCAGACTTTTTATTTAATAACTGTAGGTTCAAAAAAGCAACCCCACCACTCCATAGCATTTAAATATAGCACGCCACAAACAAGCCTGGGACAGATTGTCTTGTGACATACTGATATAATTTGTACTAATATTTCTCAATTTGGGTGGCTTATATCTGCGTAATGCTGGCTACATTTAGCCAGTTCTAAATACTTTTAATAATATTTTTAAGCCAGCAAGATTTTATTTTATTCTATTTATCTGTCTGTCTGCCTACCTATTTTATTTGCCACCCATCTCATGGTTCAGGCAACATTGGTGATTAATAATTAAATAATAAATATCAGATTACTATATCCTTCACTCACCAATCTGCTACAAACCATAGAAACCAAATGAGTAGACCAATAAGAAATTTTGATTTCTGTAGTATCTGCAAAATCTACAAAATTTATATTGCTATATGACTAGGCTAATACTCTTTATTTTAATAGAGTTTTATTTTTTACAGAGTAAAAAAAGATGCCATTATAATATCCATTTATACAATTAAGCCAAAACTTACATTGTTTCATACAAATTAAAATACGTTGCTAACTGTAATTTACCGATATGCACATTCATAGCACACTACCACAAGTATTTATCACTTTTATTATACACATAAAAAGACATTCAATTATCCATATAAAAGTATCTCAAAACAGGAAAATTGAAGTATGAACCAATTTAATTCTTTAATATTTTTAAGGTGAGTCATTTTAGCCTAGTGTCTATATTTCTGATTGCCAGAATATGTAACTCACTTCCATTATGAAGTATTCAGGATTTCTTATCAACTAAGGGAAAAAAAGTTAATTCTATTATTTCTTTTGGAGCACATTTATTATTCTTTTTTCGATTATTAACCTACCTGAAATCTCACTTCATATTCAACAAGGGATAAATTGACCATTCCGGTCCTAACCTATTTGCTCTTGTCAGAAGACAGCTGTTTCTCAATGAGAGACCTTCACAAGCACAAAAATCAAATTTGATGAAGAAGAATGTGGTAAGACCTTATACAGTATTTAACTAAACACAATCTTAGATTATTCTGTGCCCAGACAAGGAATACAGATATCCATTAAAGGCCAAATTTTCAAAAAGTGTTAAATTTAGCTGATATTCATTTGTCATACCTGTATTTAAGAGTTCCTCAATGACAGACAAGTTTCCAGCAGTTAATGCTTTTTTGAAAACTTCATTTTTATCCTGGGTGTGCAAGATTTCATCTAAACACTAGATAAAGAAGAGATTTATGCTACAATACATAAATTTACTAGTTCAATATTAGTAGAAGCACTATATGAACTGCTTCATGAGTTACAACACAAGCAAACATTTTAAAAAACAAATTCAAGAATATTTGATTCTTCTAAGACGACTTTTTAACCACTAATGTACCTTTGTACATCTGTATTTTTTGTGGGTGGTAAAAAAGTGGGTGCACTGAAGAGCCGTGGTGGTGCAGTGGTTAGAATGCAGTACTTCTGCTGACTGACTGCAATTTGGCAGATCGAATCTCACCAGGCTCAAGGTTGACTCAGCCTTCCATCCTTCCAAGGTGGGTAAATGAGGACCCCAAATTATTGGGGGCAATATGCTGACTCTCTAAACTGCTTAGAGAGGACTGTAAAAAGCACTGTGAAGCAGTGTATAAGTCTAAGTGCTATGCTATTACTTGTATACATTCAGAAAAGAGGTTAAGGCAAAATATTTGTTTAGCTAATCAAAATGCACTGAGAATAGGGATGAGATTCAAATGCCATTAGAATTCGCTCTCTACGTTTTTTGGGTGTGTGTGTGCAACTTTTAAGTCAATGTTGACTTCTGCTGACTGCCTAGATAAATCCCTGCAGTTTTCTTGCCAAGCTTTCATGTGTCATTCCTACAGTATTTGGCCCAAGGCCATCCAGTCGACTGCTCCTACAGGCTAGAACTCAATTTACCAGTTTCTAGCCTGTTGTTTAACTACTACACCGAACTGGCTCTTAATTAAAATGTCCTACCACAACTATAAGGCTGGTTTATCACTGCATTCAACCAAGCCACTGCAATTGGAATCACTCCTGTTGTCATAACTGTTCTCTACAATGTTTCATTAGTACTATGTGAAATTACTGATACTGTACAGCACGGGATTTATTTATAAAAATACTTAAGACAGCACAGTTTCTCATGCCAGATTTTTTTAAAAATCTGATTTGAGAAAATTAACTTAATAGTTGGACTAGTGTGATTTGGGTTTTTCAGTCTGAAAAATTGATACAACGCATTGGTCATTACTGTAGCCAGTATTATCAAGATACATACTTGTACATATGTATTGTAAAAATTCAGCTAATTTGAGGGTAAATGACTGATCGTCATTTACTTACAATCTACTGGATTCCAATACATTTATCACAATTATGACATGTGGATGCCAAGCAACGTGCTATCAGGTTTAATTCACAATTAGCATTCATCTGTCAAATAAATACACTGAAAAGAACAAAATCAGCTGTGGCGGATCAAAGATTTAAATGAGGAAATAGGAACTGCTACCCATGAAGATGGATGATATTGGGCCTAATGTACATTTACTCATTCTTTCTGTTCTAACTTCACCTTCTTTTCAAAATTATTACTACAACAAAGTTTTTGGAAGGTGAAGAAAAAGCAGCAGCTGCGTGATTTAAGCCCGCGCCTTGCTCGTCCCAAGGAAATCGAAGCACTGTTTAATTTGCACCTGCTCGGCCGCCATCGACTCTCACCTGGGCCTGGGACATGAACCCGATACCCCAGCCATCGTCGTCGCTCTCACTGCTCTCGTCTCCCCCGGGTACAACGCGGAAATTCGTGCCGTTAGCCATCCACCCTCACCTCAAATTCTCCAAGTCCTCTTCCCACGATCCCCCTCGCGCACAGCAGCTTTCTAGCAGCGTCCCTCCCTAACGCTTTCACCAGCCCAAGCGCAGGCGCGGGGGAAAGCGCGGACGCGGGAGAAGGTGCACAGCGTGAAGGAGGCCTCTGCGGTCACGTGTTCCGCATTCTGCCCCATCAAAGAAAAGAAGGCCCGGGGGAAACTTTTGGAATCCTCGTGATTCCATTACCTGGACCTTATTCGTTCTAATAGATGAGACCATAGACTCATAAAGTTTGAAAGAGCTGCTTTCACCCTAAGTAAAGCAGGGTGAAGGCGAAGGTAACTTCATTTGGGGTACTTGGCTCCGCTGTCGAACTGGCGTTATTACCTCCAGCGAAGTTTTAGAATGTGTTTTGATGCATTATTAATTGGAGAAAAAACCGTCTTTACTTCACTGAGACTTCTTACGTGAGTGATAGGAGGGCTATAAAGTGTCGATGTAGTGATTTTTTTTTTTTAAAGCAAAATGAGAATTATTTCTAAATGTGCGTACTGTAGAATTGATTCCTTGGCAGTCCAACTCCAGTGGATCTCGAGCGCATGCGAAATTAGAGAAAACATAAAAACAATGGATGGCCCAGACTGGAATAATCTAATAGCAAAACCAACAAAACAAAACGTGCCATTGAACGTCAACTCCAGGCCTGGGACCGAAGCCAGACTTATGGCTTTGAAAGAGCCTTTGGAATTTCATGGTACAGCATTTCCAATAATCCACAATATTCAGCGTGTTTCTTCAGGTGTTACTCAAATGCATTGTAACCAGTTAGCTCACTCTGTGGTAAATGTGTTTAAGACTGTCAGTGATTAATATTCTTCATTAGATTATGGTTCGAACAGCATGCTTCAATCCGAAAAATTGAATATTTTATTACAGGAGAATAAAAAATATTTTTCCATCTTTTATTTCCTTCCAATTTATTAAACAGAATATATTTATTGGATGAATATTTTATTTATTTTTCCCCACTGTTGTTATTTTTATAAGTAACTATGAAGGTGATTGAACATATATAATACAGTATTCTTCTCTCCTATTTTCTCCACAGCTTGTGTAGTATATTTTTTCCCCTACAACCTAATTCAGCCTTCATTAATCCAAGCATTCATTCCAAGTGGGATATTTTCAGTTGTTGAATTTTTAAAATTTAAAAATAAATAAGTTGCAGAATTAAAATTTCATGTTAATATATTTTTGGACAAAAAAATTATGAGGCAGTGATGCAAATTGACTTTAAAAATAGGCAAGATAAGAGTATTAACAGTTTGAAAATACTTTAAGGTATCAGGAACATTTAGGTCAACAGGTATTATAACACTGGATGAGTTTCCTTCAATCCTTCACTAGTGATGTTTTAAATACAAGTTTAAAAATTTAAAATTTAAAAAGAGTGATTAAAATCTGATTTTAGAAAGTTAGAAATGATGTAAGAATCTAGATAAATTTGAAATAAGATTTGGGAATTATAAGATTTTTTCTGTAGAAAAATGTCTTTCTTTGTTTTGAATTCTTTTTTTAAAAAATGAGATAAGTTTTAAAATAAAATTTAAATCTATTTTGCACCTGCAGATTTCAGAGGTTGACATGGGCTTAATGAAATAAAATCCTATTTATATTGGATTCCTTAAACAAATGTTTATCTTTTCTATCTGATAGTGACTGAGGCTTCAGGAAGGGCCATATTGTCTAAATATGATGTATGAACAATATATATTACTTGAAAAAAATAATTCAGCACAAGTATTTCCAACGTACTATTGCATCAGTAGTGCTTACTGATGCATATTTCACTGAAATGAGACTCACGTTGACTGAATCTTGGAACTGGCCATTGTATTCTAACTGGCATTCTTGAGAAGACCTGGCAGATGTCCCATGTATTCACTGCAAAAGTTTCATGTCTCCATTGTCTGCCAACGGTTCTTATAAATGAAATGTTTTACATTTTTAATATTTTAGTTCAGAGGAGGGGAGAACATTTGCATACTTGTGATTTATGCACATCTCAGAGTAAATAATTAGTATGACATAAGATATGAGATGAGACATGAAACAAGCATTTGTTATTAAAACTTTAAATAAAATTTAATTCATTCTAGGGTTTACTGTTTTTGTTTTTTGATCTTTAGTTACAGAATGGAAAATTAATAGATAAATGATATTTAATGTTTATTTAATTTTTTGCCCTCTCAGTAAAAGAAACTTCTTATTTGCATATCCTTGAGGTTTTCACCCTTTAGCTAAAATTAATTAAAGCATGAAGATCATTTGGTTTTGAACATCTTATTCAATAGATGTCAGTGGAGACTTGCTTGTACTATGTGAAGAAAGTTAGAATTAAAGTGAGAATTGAATGAATATGCAGAAAAAGATCATAAAAAAGGAAAGGAAATCATAATTTCTTTTCAAAATCCTGCTTGAAATAAACTCATGTCATTTCAATGTAAATACATGCCATTCAAGCTATTGTGTAAGTATAATGTATGTATTTCATACAGTGTCTTATTGTTATCTTTCTTTTTTGAATTTCATCAACTACATCTAACTTGACTTTTTCAGTCTTCCTGCTCTCCTTCCCTAACCTACTTATTCTTCCTTCATAGTTTGTTTTGCAATTCTGAATTTATTCTGCATTTATTCATTCTATCTTTATTCATTTTATCTTTATGATCCCACTTTCTTTATGATCAAACCCAGCTTATTTCATACAGGTCACACTATATCAGTCAAATTAATTCAGTAAATATTTGCTGTTATTCTATCTTTTCTTGTTTCACCATAACCCATTCCTTTATAAATTACTTTTACATTTCTCCTAATGCACTTAACTCTCCCTAACATATAGCAAATAAGAAGAAGCACATACTTATGCCCAGTATATTTTCTTTCAACAAACTAATTCTTCACAAAATACCACTCACTATCTTTTTAATAAGATTTACATATCTTAAAATTTTTCTGTTCATTTCTAGTCTTTTGGGTCTACCAAGGTATTTACTTCTTCTTGTTTGAGGGCATTTCTGATAACTTGTAATAGTTTATTTTCACAGTCAAATGTCACAGTCTTGATCTTTGATGCATTACTTTTCTGGTCCATATTCCTTGTTTCATCACATACTTCTTCATTCACTGCAGATCATTTCAGATCTCAAATACCATCATGGTTTCATATCATTAGCAAAGTATATGTATAATGATAATATAATGTCTAATCAACACACCATTAACATTATCACAAGTAATGATATTTTCCTAATTCACACATGCTTTACTTCCATTATATACCACCCTAAACTATATCCAGCAATCAAGGTAAAATCTGAAAGAAAGGTAGAAGAATAGAAATAAAGAGTAGAAGTTGCAGGAAAAAATGAAAAACGTAAAAAGAAATAGAAAATATAGAATATAGTAAGAATATAGTAAAGAAAAAATAAAAGAAATATGTATGTATGTATGTATGTGACTTCCAACCTTCATCACAACTATAAACAATTTCAGTTACTTACGGTATCTCTTCTTAAAATACAACAGATGATCTCTCTTCCCATATCCCATGCCTTATTTATAGACAAAGTCATAAAGTATCTGTCATTTTAGTCCTGATGTGAGCAAAAGTCCGCTGAGGGTTATGTAATGGAATGTGTTGGGAAGCAAGGGGAAGAGCTGCTACCTAGGAAAATCTTCAGTGAAAGAGCAGAGAAAGAAATTTAGGAAGGACCATCATAATATTTAGTCCATTCAAATAATGTGAGTGAATTTGATTTCTTTTTATTTTTTATTTGTCCCTTCTCTCTTTGAAGATTCTTCAAAACATTAAACCTTTTTTGTAAAGCTAATATAGCAAAATTATTCAGATCACTTTCTTGGTATATTGTTTGTATATCCTTTTTAATCATTAAAACATCAGCTGGTTTCTTCTGTATGTCCAGTGTGACATCTTTTTCCATATTATTCTTGTAGCCTGTCATTTGTAAATCTTTCAACTCAATTGCAATTTTGTCAGGTAAAACTTGTTCACGTTCCACAACATCTTTTAGACACAGTTTCTCCACAGAGTCAGATGTCACTTGTGGAATTAAAATTCAGGACTCAAAGCAAATAATCAAGACATATTGTAATATTAATTACATAGAAATTTAATTATTTATTACATAGAAATTTAATTAATAAATAATAATAAATAATAAATAAATATTTATAGTTAACAGTGCACACTGAAAGAATTCTCTCCAGAAAATGGTGGAATAAACTCCTGCGGACAGAAGGATGAACTCATATTTATACATTTCTGATAGGCGGACAAAAATAATACAGTCATACATATGCATGTATTGTACACTGCCCAAAGCCTTTTGCTGAGAGAGATTGGCAGTTAAGAAATAGGAAATAAAGTAAACAAACAAACAAAGCTTAAATATTTAAACTTCAGGTTACTTTTCCGCCGTTCTACTGTTACTATCTTCAAGAAAAAGAAGATATTGTCTTAATAAAAGAAACATTTCCGTAGAAATGTTGATAAGTGTTCCTGAGAAAGAGGCACACATTGCCTTTTTATGTGCCAATGAGCAAATATTATTTCTGTGTTTCTATTTTATAATGCAGTGCCACTTGTCAATTTGTTTTTTTCACACTGTTAACATTATTAATGTTATTTTCTCAATCCAGTTTTCAAAAGGAGCCTTCAATATGTCCAGTTTTAGACTATTATGCTCCATTCTATAATTGTAAATTGAGTTTATGTGTTCTCTTTTAATTTTAATCTTTAGCTTCCTCTAGCACCCAAATTTTAAAATTGTATGGTTTTTTTGAAAAAAGTCAAAACAAAAACATTTTAAAAAATTAACTACACCCTTAGTCCATTTGTATCTTTCCAAAATTAAAGTTACAACGACCTTCAAAGATACCACCTTGACAGACTGAGTTTAGTAAACTCGGCGACATTATATAAGTATAGTTTTTTTGTGGTCTACCAAATTAGAGGCTGTCATTAAAAATACTAATAAGAAATGACATGACAAATTTATGCTGATTCCTG